ACATATAACTAAACGCAAAAGAAATTACTTCCAAAAGAGAAACACAAGGGATCATGTTAGCTGTTCAGAAATTTACTTTCTTTGCAAAAAACGTATTACCATACGCAGGGACCACGCAGCAATAACAAAATAATAACTTGTCTTTCTGGAAGAATTTGTCGCCAAGATTCATAAAAATGGGCTCTTAAATAACGAGAATATAATTTGAAAACTAAACTTACTCCGGGGAGAGGAAATATTGTGGCGGATGCCCTATCGAGAACTAAGTTGGATGACGAGAAAGAGAAATATAATATGCCATGTTAATATAAAAATTTTAGATTCGCAATAAACAGTTATTTCAGAATTACAAGCGGACCTAGAGCTTAAAAATATTCGTTCTGACTTATAAGATTTCGATCACCTTGAACACCATGATATCACGCTAATTAAGCAAAGAGCCGCCAGCTATGAAATAATAGATAACTGTTTATTTTATTAGAAAGGAACAAATAAAAACAATGAAGTATGAATGAGTATCTCAGTGAATTTAAGATTAAATGCTTTTCTAGAATTACAATATGAGCATTGTTATATCATTTTATAATCATTGAAACTGTTAAATACGAGTACTTCTTCTAAAATGATATACATTTTCTTAGAAATGCTAAAATTTATTTATATATTCAGTATTTATTATTATTTATAGAAATTAAATTGTTCTGAAATGATAAATAATTAAAACATGCAATATTAAGTAAAAATTATTTGATCAACAATATCATAATGTCGTATTGAAATTTAATTATGGGAAAATTTTAAATAAATTTAATAATATGGCATCCTTATATTAATACAAAGTAAAAATAAAGGCGTTTCAACGAAATTTATATCAAAATGTACAGAAAAATTAATGTTTGCTTTTCATTATGATGAAATTGAACAATTAAATCGTCGTCGTTAAGTTATTAAATAATCAAAAGTGTTTCCTCGTTTTGCATTTTTGATATTATGAAACCAAAATGTCTTTAAAGTTTTAAATTTGATATCTCCAAATACTTCTATTGCAGATCTGAGCCTGTTGTACTAAAATGAAGCACTCAATGAACTCTTTGCTTTGAATATACTTTTAATCCAAAAATTCCATTTTGTACGAAAACCGCAAATATAGTGACACAGCACAAATAAATATGTCTTTCAATGTCTGTTTCATTAAGTAAACTCCATAGCAGGTAATTATCTCGTTAAATTTATCGAGCCATGTACTAGGATAGTTTTAACTCGTGAATGGTATATAATTAGATTTTACGTGTTGTCTGCTATGCTGGCGAGCAGTGGATGTATCAATTTTGTGTCAGGTTTATTGTGTAGTTCAAGCTAAAATCTAAAATAAATTTTAATTGCTTTATTTTACGCTATTGCTGTGTTCCTATTAGCATTATAAGACTTCAGTAGAAGCTACGAAGAAATTCATCTTTGAGGCTTAAGCTTTACATTAAGAACACTATAAATTTCCCCAGCCCCACAAAATTTAGAATTTTGCGATAACTTGTAGAGACATTAGGTTATTTTAAAGCAGGAGTAGATGGAAAATGTACAATGCCCTCGCCGGGATTCGAACCTCGACCCCTCAAATACGCGTTGAGTGTGCTAACCGTTACACACCGAAGGCGTGCTGAAAGAGGGAGAAAATACCTAAACTAACGCAAGTATTCACTTACCCTCAGTATACCTTTTTTATATAGAAAAGGAGCAAATTATTTTTATCTTACTTGAAGGCAGAACTTTGGAATTTGTTTCTAGTCCTACAGTGCAAGGAAACTCACAATCTGACGGCGGTAGATAGTTTAACAACAAAAATAAATTTTTTCCTGCTAGTGGTGATAGCCAAAAGAGGAAACAGGAGAGAGGCAATAAAAAATTAAACCAATCGGAGTTACTGAAATACAGAGAGTACAATCATCGCGGAAGCATCAAAATCCCTCTCGAATTCAACTGAATACAGTTTTGATCAAAAAGTTATCGCTGCCTGTAATTCAAATCCTGCTAAATTACGTGCCAACGGATGCATTGTTAGATACTGGAGCCCAAAGTAGTTTCTTGCAGAAAGTGTTTTAGAAAGACCTTTAGAAGTTACAGAGCATCAGCTGTTGAAGGAATGAAAGTTGTTGCCTGGCAAAATAGTGTCAATACATAGGTAAAGTTATAATGTACAAGCAAAAAAATGAAAGCCAGATTATGGTTTCCTCTGCAGTAAAAAAACCCTGCAGATACATGTAATTTTGGGAATCGATTTCCTACAGGCGGCAGGGCAAAAATTGCCCTTAATTGAATAAATAATTAGAAAGATTAAGTCAACGAAATGCATGGACACGCTAGATCTCATTTCTGGGTATTTTCAAATATGTGTGAATCCAGAGCACGGGCTAAAAACATTTCTTACCAGGCATTTATGTCTCCCTCAGAATGCCGTTTGGCTTATGCGGAAAAGTCCCATGGGCATTATACGAACACCTATCTTTGGTAAAAGCACATTTATTTATCTAGATGATTATACTGTAACTAACCTAACATATTCAAGATTTATACGAAGCAATTTCGCTTTTAAAAGAAGAAGAGTTAAAACTAAATGCAGCCTAATGTAAATTTGCAGTCAAAGGATTTCGTAAAAGGGCCTATAAGATATTCTAGAAAGAAATCGAGACCGGAGATTCCAAAACAGTTGCAATAAAATATTATCACCACCACCACCAAATACAGCAAAGAAATCAGCCTCATTTTGGAGCTTCTTTCCCTATTATAGGAATTTTATTACAGATTTTTCCCATGTAACAGAAAAATTATTAAAATTTAAAAGAAAGGAAGGCAGGTTTATTTGGTCGCGAGAAGCCAACACAGCGTTCGAAAGATTAAAAACCGGATTAATCCAAGCGCCAGTATTAAAATTCCCTGATGCCAGCGGAGCACTGGAAATATCTGAAGAGACAAACAATTTCGCTGTAGGAATCGTACTTATAAGTGATGGATAGCCAGTTGCATATTCTGTTAAGGCATTTAATCCAACTCAAACGAGTTATACGGTTACAGGAAGGGAAACGTTAGCAGTTCAGTAATTTCGAGTTTATTTTGGAAAACCACCTGTATAACTTAATATGGATCATGCTACAGTAGTTCGTTTGTGTTGCTTGAAGAATTTTTCACCAAGATTCGCAAGATGGGCCCTTAAACTTCAAGAATACAACTTAATATTGAAACATACTACCGGAAAAAAAAACGGGGTAATGGACGCTCTCTCGAAAATTAAATTAGATGGCAAGGGTAATGGACTGAAATGTAGCAAGTACTGTAGCCGATCCATATGCTAACTTCAAAAATTTTAGAATCTCGCTAAAGAATTACTTCTGAGTTACGAACAGATCCGTAATTTAAAAATATTTATGCTCATTTAAAATACCCTGATCATTTTGAACACCAGGATTTAACGGCTATCTGAAAGAGAGTTGCAAATTACAAAATTATTGGCAAACTTTTGTTTTACTCCAAAGTAAGAAACGAAAGTATGGAATTAAGACAGGTTATCCCAGCAAGTCTGAGATCAGCATTTTGCATGAATTATATGATGCACCAATTTCAGGCCGTCTGGGGCGCGACAAATGGCGCTGCGAGTTCGAGAAGCTGTCTATTTTCCACATCGACTAAAATTTGTTAGTCTGTGCGTCAATTCCTGTAACTTTTGCCAGTTAATTAATGTTATTAATTATAGCCCCGGGTATCTAAATAGCATAAAGGTTACCTTCCCTAATGCATTAATAGCCGCCCTAATGCAAAGATGGAGTGAAAATAACAGAAATAGACATTTGCTCGTAATCGCAGATCATTTTTTGAACCGAGTAGAAATACTTCCCATCAAAAGAGACTCTCTTTCAGGAAAATCGTTTCAGATACTTTTCTGAATAAAAGTATTCTAAAATATCAAGCTCCACTAAATATAATTTCTGATAACGGAAAACAATTTGTTATTCAAATAAACAAGGAACTATGCGCAGGGACTGGCATACGGCATTTAAAAATGGTGCCTTATCAGCCGCAATCAAACGTTGCAAAACAGGTGAATTAAAACATCGCTAAATCATTTGAATCTAATAAAAAATTATCTTAAATGATGGGATACCTGCCTCAATGAACTTGCATGTGCCTTGAATACAGCTAAGCATGATGCTACCGGGAAGACACTAGCTGAATTATAATGAAAGTTAATTACTCCACTTGATAAATTGTTTTTTATTCAAAAGATGTCTGAGGAATTTAAGATGGCAGATATTCAGAAACTATTTAATCAAGCTTTCATAAATTCGTATATGGCTAGAGAAAAGCAATAATTTTATTATAAAAGAAAAAGCAGGAATTTGACTTTAAGGTGGGGGGGGGGGATAAAATCTTGAAGATTAAATATTCTTTTTCATGTGACCATGAAGGCAAAGTAAGGAAGTTTTACACTAAATTCGAAGGACCATTTCTGATTAATCGATTACGGAAGATGGTGTTTCATTGAAAGGGTAAGATGGTGAAAGGTCACAGCCAATGAAAACCAAATTAACTGCTAAGAGCGCACTGATATGCCTTTACTTAAAGTCGTTTTCCAGGATTCCCCTCCTGCAATCAGTGAAGCTGTAAATACAGCACTTTTTCCATCGACTTCGGAAAAGCAAGTCCCGGAAAAAAGAAGAAAGCACATCGGAAATGGCGAAAGAAAAAAGAAAAGACCAAAATACGACCAGTCAAAAGAAAGTATACTGACGGGTTATAGCGAGGCCCAAACAACAGAAAAAAACAGCTTCCAAAAAGAGAGAAAAGTTACAAGAATCATGTAGATGCAGAGAGCTACCGAATAACCAGAGACGACCAGTAAAAAGCAACGTACGAGGAACCAGGTGCCTAGAGAAGTTCGCAGAGAAAGGGAAAAATACATTACTATGGCAGAATTCACACGGAAAGAACGCGATGGACGATGAGCCGCTGCAATGGAGAATGTTTCAAAGGAGCCAAAAGAGGATTCCAACGGCACAGCAACAGCAAGTCCAGCTTATGAAGTTCAAACAAAGTCAGCGGAGATGGACAACCACAAATTCAGTGACAAGGAAGCAGCCGGTATCACCAGAATTTCTCCAACCGGTTAAGGAAATCCGCCAAGATCCGGGAATAAGCCCTGAAGAGGAAACTTCCAGTGCACCCGGAAGCACAGCAGCTGCTACGCCGATAATTACGAGTTCAACGCACAGTGACGTATCCTTCCTGGCGTGACCTCGTGGAGAAATGATGAAAGACTAGGAACTAGGAAGACTAGGTTACTAGGAAGCAAAAGATGATGATGTCACGAACTGCTGTCCAGAAGGTTGAATCTTCTGTAAAAATTTTAATTTAGCTTTAGTATTTAAATTTTTATACTTGTAAAAAGTTGAACCTCGTATAGGTTTAGAATTTAAAATTTCACCAAGGTCATCAAAGACCTCCGTTGCAATTACTTATATTTTGGTAGGGAATATCGTAGGGTTATTATTATTTTGTGCAATAAGTTATTTATAATTTCTGCCTTTACTGTCACTTCTCCTGTCCATTTCCCTACCAGAATGCAAGTTTAGTTTGAGAGCATTTAAGCTTATGTTTTCGGATTGTAATACAGAGCGCGTGTCTGCCTCTCAAGGCCACGTTACTAGGTTTATAGATGCCAATGCAACTGCGTTATACCTGCTGATATTTAAATTGTTTACCGGCGATAAATTTTGAGCCAGCTTCGCATTAAATAAATTGCGGTGTAATTAACTACTACATTTAGTTTTAATTTGAACTTGATTGTTACTTTTAAGTTCTCTTGATACAAGTAGAGGTTGAGCTTGTCAGGCACCAGAACAGCGTTTTATGTTCAGGTTCTAATTTAATAAAAAGTGTTTATTAAACCTTTCAAGACTCTGTAGTTCTTCTCAGACGAAGCGATAATTCGCTCCTTGTCTCTGGGTAGTTGGATGCTTATATATGTTACCAAAGAAAAGCAAACTGCATGAAGTATCTAAATAAGTAGATGGGAATGACATCAATATTCATAAAAACTAAAAGCAACCTACACGGAAATTGCCTTCTGTCGTTTATTTTTGTTTTCATGTTACAAATTAATCCAATAATAAGAGTGTTATTTATTTTTTTTTCCTTTAATGTCTGCGCATTCATTTGTCAAGCAATTAATATTCGATCCATTATTTAAAATGCATTGAAATCTGATTCTCTTTCCATTTGCATCATGGATAAATACAAACGTTCTTCTTTGCCATAATATATTAATTTAGTTTGTTTACTTTAGAAGATGAATCATCTTAATTTGGAGACTCATGACTTTCTTTCGGCAAGTAATTGGCGATATTATCTTTCTTTTGCTAAATGCCGTTTTGAATTTCTACTACACTGAATGATTACACAGGATTAATTCGAACTTCAGTCTTCTACTACATATTTTCTATTTTAACACTTTATGGAGCGTTTATTTCCTTTTACGATTTCATATCTTTTTTGTGACCTCATATTTAGAGAATCGTCTCATTTATTTAAAGTCTATGGTCCTTACATAAAATAAACTTTGTTTTTTAACTTGCTGGAATTAATCACTGGCCTTTTAGTTTTTTATTTTTTATTTTTTATTTTTTTTTTTTTTTTTTAAGCGAAAGATTTCTAGATCTTGTTTTAACAGCAAAGCTACATTTTATACTTTTGAGTACGGCACTTCCAGTTTCGTTAATGAAGCAAACAGAGAAACTTCTTCCGTACTTAGTTAAATTAGTTTCCCTTTCTTATTTATGAAGAATAATGTTAAGAAATATATCTAACAAGGTATTTTTTTCATATTCTTTTACTTTTAACCCCTCAATTCTTTAGCAGATTCATGCTGAATTTTATAGTAGTTAATTATAGCTAACTGCAAGTAAATGTTAATTTTCAAATTGTTACATCAGAGCTGTAAACAATGACGCAAAGTTATCATCGGATGTCACCAATAATTTAGCGTCATACTTTAATGAAGCACGCAAGCAATATACCTTTTATGAATAACTTATTTCTTTGTTATTATTAAAAGCATGTACTAAGTTTTGAACATAGTCCATTTCTCATATTTTCCATTAAATATCGAATGAAGAATCTCTGTAAGATTAGCCTCTACTTCGATGTTTTTATATTCTAATCTTCAGCAGCGTTAGAAGAGTTTTCAAAGAAATGATAAATTTTTCTATGTTTAATTTCAGTCTTTTCAACTGATCATCAATTTCAGATCACCATCAAGTTTTGCGAAACCTTTAATAGAGGAAATAAAGTACTACTATTATCTCAATATTTTACTCTCAGTCTATCTCTCTCTCTTTCGGTAAACTCTTGTTTTTTAGCTAAGTGGTTCCATATTGGTTACATTTAATTTAATAAATCCTTTTAATCTGACAGGCATCTCCATGGCTGATGCGGGCTCAGCGCACTACTTTTATGTCGGAGCTAGGCTTAGCTGTTTGATAACCAAATATTGCATGTTGGCGAAATACTTCTATTCGTATAATTTTTTAACACAAGATGATACAAGTGAAGGATAGTTTTACAACAACGGGGACAAATACCCGCTAATTCGAAATGGTTTATAGCGGATTAATTCCAACGAAAGGGAATATAATCTTTTAATACGAAATCTATTAAGATTCTAACAAAAAAAAAAACTTTTACTCGGTCACGTCTATTTAATCATCTGAGCGAATTCTGAGTATACACAGACAGTCTCCGAAGAATTCTATACAAACAGTGCCCACTCTGTAAATAATCAGAATTTAAATCCCCTTCTCTCACTTCCTATGTGTACAAACATATAACATTTATTTTATATTTTCTTCTAGGCTTTAGCCATCAGATAGCAGTCTGAAATGTTTTCCTTCAGAGCTGATGAAAACGTGTTCAAAACATAATTATGTGGAAATCTCAGTTAGAATTCCACAACTAACTAATTAACTCATCTTACGTCAACATTTCTAACTACTTAGAAATGTTAAATTTTAGTAGTTCCTTTTAATAAAAACAGAACGTCTAACAGTTAATTACAACGAAACTTTTTACGATAAACTTAATCTTCTTTAAAACAGCTAGGGAATTGATTTTAATTTTTATCCGTAGTAACTGCAATATTAAGAATAGTCGCTTTCACAAAAGGAAACATTTCAAGGAAACTATAAAAGAAACGTACTTGTCATCAAATTACAACGGAATATACTTAGACTGCTGAAAGAAATTTGCAATTCACTATAAATATACTTACTGGACTATAATTTACTTTGGGTTTCAAGAGCTCGCACAGGCAGAAGCTAAAAATCCTTTCTATTGTTCTCATCTATAGATAAGAATTCAATACATTAGATTTAGATTGTGACGTCACTCATTATATATAAGTAAACTACAGTTCTGAAAATCAAGCTAACTTGTTGTCATAGATCAGAGACGCAATAAACTTGCAGAATCAAAAAGGCATGATTGCCTAATATGAAAAATATAAATACCAGCAATAATGAACAATTTAACAGAGAGCTAATAAGCTAAGAACTAGGGTCAGCTAATAAGGATAAATGTTTTCTTGTTTGTTTATTTAGTTGGTCCCGAGGAAGAAGTCAAAAACAAAAGGAAATAGAACTAATGGTACAGGAAAAAATGGAAATGGAAATCAAAGCACCACAGTGAAAGAACCTTCAATTCTTGGCACACGTCTCCATACGTAGATGGGATAAAAGGCCATATTCTCAAAATGGAAAAGAAATGGGTAAATATAAAATTAAAAAATTATACGAAAGAATAGCCTTACTTTGGTGAATATTTAGAGGACGATCAGATGCAGGTCCATCCTTTTTAAGCGCAAAAGCTGTCTGAAAATTGGAAACAGCGACGACGGTATTTACACTGAAGAGCAATAGGCAGAGGAAAGTGAAAAAAATGTATCGCCATTGTCGAGTGAAAGAACAATCAAACGCAAAAATTAATATTAGAATTCTAAAAGCAATAGGAAGAAATGGATATGAATTATTATCAATAACCAAAGGGGACAAGTTTTATTAAATATTATAAGCCTCAAAGAAGTCCAGTTCACCAACAGAAAAGCTCTATAGGTGGGTTTCGCTAAACAAAGTCATGACTAAATTTTGCGATTAAATTTTGAACTATTATTTTAGCTAGGTTTTTGTCATTTCTCACATCTTTGGTGACAAGATGGAAAATTTTAAATGCTTTAATAATGACCATGCAGCAGCAAACAGTAGGTTATTCACGCTTTAGTGGAGCATCTGCAGAGGTGGGAATGCTAATAGTGTACGATGCCTTGAAGTAATTTGGCAGGGTACACATGGCAGACCATTATATTGAAGGTTTGTAAACGTTTCTGTCTATGGTAACAGAGTTTTTTTCGGAACTATCAATTCTTTGCCACTGCTTTTTATTCAACCCTTGTAAAACAGTATTGAAAAGAAACACTCGCAGTCTTAGTTTGGATCTACCTACTGAGGTATGTATTTCAGTTGTATGTATCATATTTATTAGTTATGATTACCAGCATATTTATTTCCTGTTAATGATTATTCCTACTTTTGCAGTTCAAGAGCACCTCAGGAGTAAAACCTATGTTCAAAATAGTTCAATTAGGATTCAAATAGCCGAGCTTTGAACCCGAATCGAATTATCAGTGTTAAATACTAGAATTGATTGCTCGGAAGATTTCGAGCTTTGTGTAATGTGAAACCGAGATTTACTTTAAAGGTATCCTTCTCCTTACGAAACTGGCACTCGTATGCTTTGTTGTAATACGAATAATCCAGTTAAATCGAATCTCACATTTACAACATTTATGCAAAAATACGTATAAACCTTTTTTAACTCGAACTAATTTAAGAGGGCTAAATGTAGAAAAAAAAATTAATCCCCGGAAACTCTTTCTAGATTTTTTTAAACGACAATTCTGCGCTGCGCAAGTGACACACACTTCATCTAACAATCAAAACTCTGATTACGGAGAATATGTATACACAAACAAGGTATAATAAAGAAGCAAAAGCAATATTTTTCAACTGCCATATTCGAATTGAGTAAAAATACTAATCTGAGAATCATAAATTAAG